TTGTTTTAGCAATAAAGTGTTTTAAAATTAAGGTGTGCACACTTTTTTAGACATAATGCTATTGTACACCTACCCAATAAGCTACAGTATAACAGTGTAAACATAACTTTTATATGCACTAGGAAACCAAATAATGTGTGCGTGACTTGCTTTATTGTGATACTTTATTCCAGTGGCACATAACTGAACCTACTATCTCAGATGTACACCTAGACATTTGTCAAAACCCATAGAATGTATGACACCAAGAGTGAATTCTAATGTAACTGTGGACTTTAGTTAATAACAGTAAGTCAGTATTGGTTCATTTATTCTAACAGACATACCACACTAATGCAAGACGTTAAAAATTGGGGAGCTTCAAATAAAAGCAATTTTTTAATTACCAAAAAAGCAAAAACCAGGGAAATTGAGGGGAAGAGTGGGGATCATATGGGAACTTTGTGCTTTTTGCTTAATTTTTTTTTTTTGGAGACCAAGTCTTGCTCTGTTGCCCAGGCTGGAGTGTAGTGGCATGGTCTTGGCTCACTGCAACCTCTGCCTCCAGGGTTCAAGTTATTCTCCTGCCTCAGCCTCCCGAGTAGCTAGGACTACAGGCGTGAGCCACCGTGCCCAGCCTAATTTTTTCTGTAAATGAAAACTGCTCAAAAAACCGGGCCAGGAGTTCAAGACCAGCCTGGACAACATGGTAAAAACCCATTTCTACTAAAAATACAAAAAGTAGCCGATGTGATGGCACATGCCTGTAATCCCAGCTGCTCGGGAGGCTGAAGCACAAGAATTGCTTGAATGCAGGAGGCAGAGATTGCAATGAGTTGTGATCGTGCCACTGCATTCCAGTCTGAGTGACAGAGTGAGTCTCTGTCTCAAAAAAAAAAAAAAAATGCTCAAAAAACGCAACCTTTAAAAAAAAGTTGCAGCTATTTTGGCCTTTCTCTTGGTCCTGTTTTCAGAGTTACAGCCTGTTTAAATAATAATACTAAGACCCTAGATCATAGGTAATTAATTGGATTCTCCTTAAATTTTAAGATATATACAGTTGTGGCTTAAATACAAACTAAAAATTTCACTTACCAAAAGGGTAAGGAGAACTTTTTACTTTACAAGTTTTTAAATTCTAGAGTCATAGTATTTTATTATTACCTTGTAAGTTCCCTTTATAGAAATCCTGAATGCAGTATGTTTAGTTGAAAAGTGCTGTGGAAATATCCAATATGAACCATTAACTAACATTTAGATTTTTCTGGTAATATGCATACTTACCATTTCTCTAAATCATTTGGCATATTTCAAAACCTTCATTTTTTTTTTTTTTTTTTTTTTTTTGAGACAGAGTTTCACTCTTGTTACCCAGGCTGGAGTGCAATGGCGCGATCTCGGCTCACCGCAACCTCCGCCTCCTGGGTTCAGGCAATTCTCCTGCCTCAGCCTCCTGAGTAGCTGGGATTACAGGCATGTGCCACCATGCCCAGCTAATTTTTTTTTGTATTTTTAGTAGAGACGGGGTTTCACCATGTTGACCAGGTCGGTCTCGATCTCTCGACCTTGTGATCCACCCACCTCGGCCTCCCAAAGTGCTGGGATTACAGGCTTGAGCCACCGCGCCCGGCCTAAAACCTTCATTTTTAACAGCCACATTAGTCACATATTCTATCATGCGTATGTATTGTGATTTAATTATTTCCCTATTGTTGGACATTTGGCCAATTAATAATGTGCCTTCTAAAATGTCTACCTTAATATTTTAAAGAATGATGGCCTCGTGTTGCCATTTGAGTCTGAAAGGTCTATGACTCTATTACATATGCCAAAATAGGGCCACGTGTTTTGGGTGGGAGACTGCTTTGGGGATAGTGGATCCTCCACCTAACTTTCCTTTTTTTAATTATTCTGCACCCTAGTATTAGAAGTGATTGCTAAGTCCCATGTACATTAGTTAGAATTTGTCTTTGTATGCCCCTCCATTCTCTGGTCAAATTTTAACTTTTCTCAATATCTTATCAGCAGTTTCTGATAGCCATCTGTAGATTTTAGGTTTTTGGTTTTTTGGGTTTTTTTTTTTTTTAAAGATGTTAGTTCATATCTTTTATTAACTCATACACAATTACTTATCTTCTGATTTGTTAAAGCAGTAAGTCAGACATTTACCACAATAATGTCTGTCAAAATAGTTTGCCATAAATACTCCAGCACCATCTGAGGGGCACTCTCGATGAAGGTGACTAATTTTGCCATTCTCATCCACCTCATAGTATTTCAGGACAGCCAGCTTCGCCTTCTTTCTCTCAGGCTTATCATTCTCGGGAGTGGTGTAAGACTTCTTCCTCTTCTTGGCACCACCACAGTCTCAACTCAAGATGAAGAGTAGACTCCTTTTGAATGTTGTAGTCAGGCAAAGTATGTCCATCTTCCAGTTGCTTGCCAGCAAGGATCCGTCTTTGCTAATCAGGAGGAGTTCCTGAATCTTGGCCTTTACTTTTTCTATTGTGTCCAAGGGTTCAGCTTTGAGGGTGGTGGTCTTCCCTGGAAGGGTTTTTACGAAATCTGCATTTTGGTGGCAGCTCCACTGCAGATAGCAGATGGAAAAAAAAAAAAGAGAAGCAGTTTTTAGGTTTTTAAAGGTAGAGTTAACAAACAAATAATAGAGGAAAGATTCTCATGCATGGGGAATTTGCAGCCACTTGCTAGGCTCTTAATAAATGTTGAAGCATGAACAACGATTAGGGAGGTAAAATTATGGACAACTTTTTTTCAGTATTTTCTTCTTTTATATTATGTTATGATGTAGCGTGGAATAGATCTGGGTTCAGATATTTTTGCTACCACTTACCTTAGTCTTGGTTAACTCACAAATTTCAATGCTTAATTAAGAGAAAATATGTTATGCCAAAAATTAGTTGAAAGATATGAGAATTATGTATATTGAACACACTAGATAAACTTATGAATGTTAATTCAAGAGGTTACATGGTCACTCAGATGTTGCTGAGAATCTGAAGGTGGATATGCAGTCAAATGTGCAATTTAAATTCTAAGTTAATATAAATGTGGAATTGGGCTTCAGGTAGAAAAAACAATTAAGTTGTGTAAAATTTAGAATTTTAAATATAGCTTTGGCTTTACATCAGTTTTCCTTATATTTCTGAGACCAGGAGTGTAGAAAACATCATATGAAATTTCCAGCTTTTAAATATCTGCTTCTTACCAGTTTTATTTTCTTCCTACATTCTTATACTCTTGATGTTCAGACTATCCAATATGTCATCTAATTATTATATAACATAATATATAACATGTTTATATACTATATATTTGCCACATCATAATACCTGTTCTCTATTTTTAAATCTTGTGTTTTTCCAAGTCTAACTACTTTGTTATTATCCTTTAATAGCTTGTCTGCACTTTGTTTTTTGTTTGTCTGTTTGTTTTGTTTTTTACCCCATAACTCAGCAATCCCTTTTCCAGGCATGTACCCAAAGGAAATGAAACCACCACTTTGTAAAGATGTCTGCACTCCCATGTTCATTGCAGCATTATTTACAGTAGCCAAGGTATGGAAACAACAAGTGTTTGTTGATAGATGAATGGATAAATAAATTGTAGTACACAGGGAAAATGGAATATTATTCAGCCCTAAAGAGGAATGAGGACTTGCCATTTTCCACAACATGGATGAGCCCAGAGAACATTATGCTAAGTGGACTAAGACAGACACAGAAAGACAAATAGTGCATGATCTCACTTATATGCAGAATCAAAAAATTCAAATGTAGCAGAAATAGAGAACAAAACCGTGGTTAGGAGAGAGGGAAGCAGAGGAAATGGGGAGATGTAGGCAGAGGATACAGAACAGATATATAAGATGAACAAGTCACCTCTTTTTCTGGCTGGAACCATGGAGGGTATAGAAGAGAAGAAGGTTCCTGCTGTGCCAGAAACCTTAAGAAAAAGTGAAGGAATTCCGCAGAGCTGAAGATCAAGTACAGGAGAAAGAATTTCGCCCAAAAGATGCTTTGAAAGGCAAAGAGGAAGCTATCTATGAAAAAATGAAGCACTATCACAGGGAATATAGGCAGATACACAGAACTGAAATTCAAATGGCTAGGATGACAAGACAAGCTGGCAACTTTTGTGTACCTGCAGCACCCAAATCGGCATTTGTCATCAGGATCAGAGGTATCAATGGTGTGAGCCCAAAGGTCTGAAAGGTGTTGCAGCTTCTTCGCCTCTGTCAAATCTTCAGTGGAACATTTGTGAAACTCAACAAGGTTTCAGTTAATGTGCTGGGGGTATATATTGCATGGGGGTACCCAAATCCGAAGTCAGTAAATGAATTAATCTATAAACATGGTTATGGCAAAATCAGTAAGAAGTGAATTGCTTTGACAGAGAACACTTCGACTGCTCAGTCTCTTGGTAAATATGGCATCATCTGCATGGAGAATCTGATTCATGAGATCTGTACTGTTGGAAAATGCTTCAAAGAAGCAAATAACTTCCCGTTGCCCTTCAAATTATCTTCTCCATGAAGCAGAATGAAGAAAATGACCACCCATTTTGTAGAAGGTGGAGATGCTGGCAACAGGGAGGACCAGATCAACAGGCTTATTAGAAGAATGAACTAAAGTGACTACCATGGTTATTTTTCTAAGCTGGTCAGTTAATAAACAGTACCTGCTCTCAAATTGGAAAAAAAAAAAAAAAAGATGAACAAGTTGAGATCTAATGTGCAACATGAGGACTCCAGGTAATAAAATTGTACTATATGTAAGGGATTCATGTTAAATGAGATTTTAGCTGTTCTTGCATCACACACAGAAAATAGGCATGTGAGATGATGGATATGTTTATTTGCTTCACTGTTGTAACCGTTTTACTATCTATATATATCACGTAACAGCATATGTATATCTTAAATATACACAACGAAATTAATTTTTAAAATTTTTACCCTACAGAAAACAATATTACTTTTCATGTAAATACTTTTGTTTTAGGATCGTGGAGTGAAAATATATTGGAATATTTTCTGAGAAATAACCAGATTACCACAGAAGATGGCGCTGAGATCACCTGGTATCATGCAGCTAACCACAAGGCACAAATGAATGAGGCACTGAAAAGTAAGTCAGTACAGTTACTTGTAATTTACTTTGGATAATAGATTAATTAAACTCCTTTTTGATATCTAGTTATATTTGCAGATACTAGGGACAGGTGATCCAAGTGTAAGTTCCAGGCTGACATAAGTATTTTATGTATTTATTTTTATTATTTAATTATTATTTATTCATTTTTAGAGACATGGTCTCAGTCTGTTGCCCAGGCTGGAATACAGAGGTGTAATCACAGCTCACTGCAGGCTCAAATTCCTGGGCTCAGGAAATCTGTGAGCCACCACACCCAGCTAAACATTTTTATGAAGTGTTTCATTTTGTTTACGATGGATAAATTGCTTAATGGAAGAATTTTTTTATTTTCCAGAAGTGATTTGCCTGTTATATCTGATTCAAAATTCTAATATATTATTATATTTTCTTATGTATCTAGTGATTTGAATAAAACTTTTAAGATCAGAACCATGTATCTTTCATATTTTTATGTCTTCCATTGTGTACTAATGAGAAACTCACTCATTATTTGTTCAATGGATGAATGAAATATACCAATTGATGATTACTAAATAATTGGGCAGTATTTATGCCTAAGCCAGAAGTCTTTGGTTTACTGCTTCAACCCGTAATCATTGCATGCATATCCCATCAGTATACAGATGAACATTAAAGCAGTGTTTCTCAGCCTTTTCCTATAAAGTGCTCGTATTGGCTGCAGCAGGAAAGGAGAATGAAAGCATATCATCGCAGGGCTGGGCCAGAGCTTGCAGTGTGCCTGGTCCAACAGGAGATTTAGCTTGAAGTTCCAAGTTTTATTGTAAAAATTTATGCATTTTTGCATCCTAGTCCGTTATAAATCTGAGCTCTTTTATTGTCAAAACACTGTTTTTAAATTGTCTTTTTCTCCTCAAAAGGAAGAACTTTGTCTCATTTCATATTGAATCCCTAATGCCTAAAACCATGTGTAGCATATAATAACTACACAATGATTATTTAGTAAATAAATTTTAGCAAAATTGATGTTTCAGGAAACAATTGACTAATGGTTGCCAGGAACTGTAAAGAGTCAATGCTAATGAGTACAGGGTTTCTTTTTCAGATAATGAAATTTTTCTAGAATTAGAGAATGGTGATAGTTGCATAACCTTTGGAATACACTAAATAAAAACCACTGACATGTTCACTTTAAAAGGGTGAATTTTATAGTATGTAAATTATGTCTCAGTTTTTAAAAATGAAAAAAAGCTAGGAAAGGAAGAAATGAAACCATTATTCCCAGACAATATGATTGTATATAAAGAAAACAAAAAGATTATATAGATAAATGATCATAATAAATAGGTGAATTTAGAAAATCTCAGGATATGGTCAGGGGTGGTGGCTCATGCCTGTAATCCTAGCACTTTGGGAGGCTAAGGTGGGTAGATCCTTTGAGCTCAGGAGTTCAAGATCAGCCTATGCAACATAATGAGACCCTATCTCTACAAAAAATGGAAAAATAAGCCAGGCATGGTGGCATGTACCTATAGTCACAGCTTCTTGGGAAGCTGAGGCAGGAGGGTCAATTGAGCAATTGAGCCCAAGAGGTAGAGGCTGCAGTAAGCTGTGATCATGCTATTGCACTCCAACTTAGGTGACAGAGTAAGACCTTGTCTCAAAAAAAAAAAGAAAGAAAGAAAGAAAATCTTAGGATGCAAGGTCAAAATGGAAAATAAGTTCTGTTTTTCTCTTAACAACTGAAAACCCAGAAATACAACTTTTAAAATTGTACGGTTTGTATAATAATAGTATATACAGCCCTTTTGGCTCTCTGAGCAGCACCATGGTGGTTGGCAAGAACAAGCGCCTTACGAAAGGCGGTAAAAAGAGTGCCAAGAAGAAAGTGGTTGATCCATTTTCTAAGAAAGATTGGTATGATGTGAAAGCACCTGCTGAGGGAATGCTGGGAAGATGGCCGCCTAAGAACAGCTCAGGACTTCAGCTCCCAGTGAAAGTGCAGAGGGTGAGTGGACGCCGCATTTCCAGACAAACTCTTATTGCCCACAGACCAGGAGATACCCAGGCAGAGGGGTCGCCAGCGTCGCAGTCCCAGCCGGTGCGGCTGTTTTGGCCCCTGTGGGGCTGATTCCGCCCGCGCGGCTGCTGTGACCACGCCCTGTTGCTGCGGTTCTCCGTACAAAAGCCACTGGTCTGGGAGCCCTCTTAGCTGGCGAGCAGAGCCCTGAGACGGCAGAGTTGCCCATTCATCTGAAATAGCGAGTCAGGCCAGGAGATTCCTAGGCAAAAAGTCCGCCAGGAGCCGGCGCCACAGTTCGAGCCGACTCCGTGAGTCACAGCACGGGAGATCCCGGCGCCTTTTCAACAAGCGACCAGAACGCGGGGTCGTTCAACTTAAAAGAAAAGACTCTGAGTCAGGGAGCCAGGTGATCAGGCTCGGTTGGTCCCACCCCTCCACCCCCAACAACAACGAAAACAAAAACAGTAATTGGAAACCCTCTGGGTTGAGCGCTTCAAACCAAGCACAGCTGAACCGGGATGGTCCGGCTCCGTCGGGGAGGGGCTTCCGCCATTACTGAGACTCTCCACCGCTACAGAGGCAGGCTGCCGTTGCCGAGGCAACCTGCCACAACAGAGAGAGTCCGCCATAACAGAGGCGGGGCCACCGTTGCCGAGACAGTTCTAACTACGCCCATATAAAAAGGACTACAGGGAAGAGCTCAGGGCAGCTGGGCGGAGCCCACAGCAGCTCAGCAAAGCCCCTGCGGGCAGGCAGTGGCTAGGCCTGCTGCTAGCTGGGCGGGTCAGACCTGAAAGAAAAATCAAAAAAGGCAGTAGTGCAACGGAAACTCATAAAGCTCCAACTCCCTGGGACAGAGACAGACAACAGGTGGATAAACCCACAAAAATGGGAAGAAACCAGCGCAAAAAGGATGAAAAACTCCCGAAACCAGAACACCTCTCCTCCTAAAAGGGATCACAACTCCTCACCAGCAAGGGAACCAGACCGGATGGAGAAGGAGGGTGATGAAATGACAGAATCAGACTTCAGAAGGTGGGTAGTAAGAAACTACAATGAGCTAAAAGAACATATTCTAACCCAACGCAAAGAAAATAGGAACCTTGAAAAAAGATTGGACGAACTGCTGACGAGAATGGACAGCATAGAGAGGAGTATAAGTGAATTGATGGAGCTGAGAAACGCAACACGAGAACTTCGTGAAGCATGCACAAGCTTCAACAGCCGAATGGACCAAGCAGAAGAAAGGATATCAGAGGTCGAAGATCAACTAAATGAAATAAAAAGAGAAGGCAAGAACAGAGAAAAAAGCACAAAAAGGAATGAACAAAATCTTCAAGAAATATGGGACTATGTGAAAAGACCTAATCTACGTCTGATAGGTGTACCTGAATGTGATGAAGAGAATGAATCCAAGCTGGAAAATACTCTTCAGGATATTATCCAGGAAAACTTCCCCAACCTAGCAAGGCAGACCAATATTCAAATCCAGGAAATACAGAGAACACCACAAAGATATTCCTCAAGAAGAGCAACCCCAAGGCACATAATCGTGAGATTCACCAGGGTTGAAATGAAAGAGAAAATGCTAAGGGCAGCCAGAGAGAAAGGTCGGGTTACCCACAAAGGGAAACCCATTAGACTCACGGCAGATCTCTCAGCAGAAACCCTGCAAGCCAGAAGAGATTGGGGGCCAATATTCAACATCCTTAAAGAAAAGAACATTCAACCCAGAATCTCCTATCCAGCCAAACTAAGCTTCATAAGTGAAGGAAAAATAAAATCCTTTGTGAACAAGCAAGCACTCAGAGATTTCATCACCACCAAACCTGCCCTACAAGAACTCCTGAAAGAGGCTCTACACATATAAAGGAACAACCAGTACCAGCCACTCCAAAAACACACCAAATGGTAAAAGAGCATCAACACAATCAAGAATCTGCATCAACTAACCAACAAAACAGCCGGGTAGCATCAAAATGACAGTATCAAATTCACACATAACAATACTATCCCTAAATGTCAATGGACTATATGCCCCAATCAAAAGACACAGACTGGCAAATTGGATAAAAAGCCAAAACCCATCAGTGTGCTGTATCCAGGAAACCCATCTTACATGCAAGGATACACAAAGGCTCAAAATAAAGGGATGGAGGAAGATCTACCAAGCAAATGGAGAGCAAAAAAAGGCAGGAGTTGCAATTCTCATCTCTGATAAAATAGACTTTAAAGCAACAAAGATCAAAAGAGACAAAGAAGGACATTACATAATGGTAAAAGGATCACTGCAACAAGAAGAGCTAACGATCCTAAATATATACGCATCCAATACAGGAGCACCCAGATACATAAGGCAAGTTCTTAATGACTTACAAAGAGACTTAGACTCCCACACAATAATAGTGGGAGACTTTAACACCCCATTGTCAGTATTAGACAGATCATCTAGACAGAAAATCAACAAGGATATCCAGGACCTGAATACAGACCTGGAACAAGCAAACCTAATAGACATTTACAGAACTCTCCACCCCAAATCCACAGAATATACATTCTTCTCAGCACCACATCACACCTACTCTAAAATTGACCACATAATTGGCAATAAATCACTCCTCAGCAAATGCAAAAAAAAAAGAACAGAAATCATAACAAACAGTCTCTCAGACCACAGTGCAATCGAGTGAAAGCACCTGCTATGTTCAATATAAGAAATATTGGAAAGACGTTAGTTACCAGGACCCAAGGAACCAAAATTGCATCTGATGGTCTCAAGGGTCGAGTGTTTTAAGTTAGTCTTGCTGATTTGCAGAATGACAAAGTTGCATTTAGGAAATTGAAGCTGATTACTGAAGATGTTCAGGGCAAAAACTGCCTGACCAACTTCCATGGTGTTGATCTTACCCGTGACAAAATGTGTTCCGTGGTCAAAAAATGGCAGACAGCCTGGCCAGGCGCGATGGCTCACGCCTGTAATCCCAGCACTTTGGGAGGCCGAGGCGGGTGGATCACGAGGTCAAGAGATCGAGACCATCCTGGTCAACATGGTGAAACCCTGTCTCTACTAAAAATACAAAAAATTAGCTGGGCATGGTGGCACATGCCTGTAATCCCAGCTACTCAGGAGGCTGAGGCAGGAGAATTGCCTGAACCCGGGAGGCGGAGGTTGCGGTGAGCCGAGATTGCGCCATTGCACTCCAGCCTGGGTAACAAGAGCAAAACTCTGTCTCAAAAAAAAAAAAAAAAAAAAAAAAAAGGCGGACAGTGATTGAAGCTGTTGTTGATGTCAAGGCTACCAATGGTTATTTGCTTCATCTTCTTTGTGTTGGTTTTACTAAAAAGCACAACAATCAGATATGGAAAGCGTCTTATGCTTAGTACCAACAGGTCTGCCAAATCCAGAAGAAGATGATGGAAATCATGACCCAAGAGGTGCAGACAAATGACTTGAAAGAAATGGTCAATAAATTGATAGCAGACAGCACTGAAAAGACACAGAAAAGGCTTGCTCATCTGTTTATCCTCTCCGTGATGTCTTTGTTAGAAAAGTAAAAATACTGAAGAAGCCGGAGTTTGAATTTAGAAGCCCGAGTTTGAATTTGGAAAACTCATGGAGCTTCATGGTGAAGGCAGTAGTTCCGGAAAAGCCACTGCAGATGAGACAGGTGCTAAAGTTGAATGAGCTGATGGATATGAACCACCAGTCCAAGAATCTGTTTAAAGTTCAGACTTACAATAGTGGCAAATAAAAAGTCTCATTTGTGGGGAAAAAAAATAGCATATACAAAGCCCTTTTTCTGTCATAGGCTGAGGATGGTGAAAAGTTACTTTTGCTCTGCTGAGCAGGAGTTGGTGATGCAAGGCAGAGTCTGGCCATGGTCACAAACTGGAGCTCCTGTGGGTGGGGTAACATATGCCTTGACAGACAGACATACTCCTCTGGGTCTCCCTGTTATATGAGACTATTAGAACCATGCAGTCTCCCAAGCAGAAGTGTGCCCTGACTTTCAAAAGTCCTCTAACCACAGGCTATGGATGGGAGAGTAGGGAGAGGGGCTGGGCAGCTTCTGTGTCTGTGTCTCCAGGCCAGGCCTCCCTCTCTTGTTAGGACTTAGTATTAGACTATCCAACTGGTTATTGATGTTTGCACTTAGAGCTCTCTCATGCATCTCAAATTTACATTACTCAAAATAAGATTCTTGACTATGTTTACTAACCTGCACTTCCTATGCTCTTTCCTGTCCCAGGAAATGGCACCACAGTGTACTTAGATGTTTCAACTAGAAATCTAGGAGTCATTTATTATCTACTTTGTTTATTCTTGTATCTGATATATCATCCAATCATTATGATTGTGTTCCAAAATACATTTTGAATTAGTCCACATCTTTCCATCTTTCTTATCATTATCCTAGAAGCCACTAGGATTTCTTGCTCTTACTGCTGTAGTTTCCCATCTTTTTCATGTAAGAGACCTTAGGAACATACTTTACATGGGTTCGGAGGCTCCTCGACTTGCTTATTTACTGATTTTTTTTTCTATTTATTGGAAGTAATGGAATTAGCACATTTTGGGAGGCCACAGGGTCAGGAGTTTGAGACCAGCCTGGCCTATATGGTAAAACCCCATCTCTGCTAAAAATACAAAAAGTAGCTGGGCATAGTGGCAGATGCTTGTAGTCCCAGTTAGGAGGCTGAGGCAGGAGAATTGCTTGTACTTGAGAGGCATAGGTTGCAGTGAGCTGAGATCGTGCTACTGCATTTCAACCTGGGTGACAGAGCAAGACTCCTTAAAAAAAAAAAAAAAAGACTATTTCTCTTAAATGAAAGATTCCAAGCTCTTGTGACCCTTCATAACCACACTGATAAAGGAGACCTACAAACCCCTTCCCCAACTTCAGCCTGGAAAAATAGTAAAAGACCAGATTATCTGTCTTTCTCTAAATGCACTTTCCCTGTTATCCTTACAGAGGTTTGGCCATAGGGTGAAAGAACAACTTCTCTGTATCAGCCATCCCCCTGGCAAGATGAGCCACACAAACATCAGGACTCATCACCGTTCACATGGTTGAAGAATTCCACCTTTGGCAGAGAGCTAGAACCTGTTTGGATAGTACCTGAACATTGCTTAGAATTGCATTTGATAGAGAATAAAAGGAGTATAAAACTCTGATTGGTCTTGGTGTTTTGGTGTTTATTTTTCTATTTTTTGTAGAGAGGCTGGTCTCAAACTCCTGGCTTCAAGCAGTCCTCCTGCCTCAGCCTCCCAAAGTGCTTACAAGGATTACAGGTGTGAGCACCACACCCAGCCATTTTGTTATTCTATGCTTTGCCTCACTGTAATTAAAAGAGCCTAAAAATAAATAAATAAATAAATAAATAAATAAATAAATAAGTAAGCCTAAATATGGTCTAGCTTAGAGAAGAGAAACATAGCAAACATCCATTGGGTTCTTACTGCATCACCAGTCCCCTTTTCTTTCTTTCTATAAGAACTTTTTATTTTTTGAGATGGAGTCTCGCACTGTCGCCTGGGCTAGAGTACAATGGTGTGATCATATGATTCTCCTGCCTCAGCTTCCCAAAGTAGCTGGGATTACAGGCTCATGCCACCACACCTGGCTAATTTTTTGTATTTTTAGTAGAAACAGGGTTTCACTATATTGGCCAGACTGGTCTTGAACTCCTGACCTCCTGATCCTCCTGCCTCCGTCTCCTGAAGTGCTGGGATTACAGGTGTGAGCCACCTTGCCTGGCCAAGAACATTCCTTTTATGAAGGTATCCATTTCTGCTCCATACAAGCTTATGGAAACTGATTCCATTTGTAGCTCCAGGGGTGGATTAGAGTAAGTTAACCAGCACTTGAAGTTTTCCTGATGATTCGTATTGCTCCCATGGTGGGCAAGTGATCAAACTAGGCTCAATTAGACTCTGGTAAAGTAATTATATCTATACTTGCCAAAGAAGTTCTATATCTTAAAATTGAAATATGTGAACATGAAAATATGTAGCCCCAGTGGTTATTGGTAGCTGTCTTATAGTAATGAGTTGAAATTAGCCTTATGATGAAGACAGCACCAAGGACAGTGACTAAAAGAGACGTAAAGATCCTGGTAACATCAGTGAGCTGCTGATTGTACCACACTTGAAGCTCACCTGACCTGTGGACTTTCAGTTATTTGAGGTGATAAATCTCCTAGCTTGAGTCTGAATTTCTATTTATTTGCAGCCAGAAGCATCCAGTAGATTTATGAGTCCGCCCTAACTGAATAGATTATTTTCCCTGCTTCCACACTTGCCCCTGTCCAGTTTATTTTCCACCCAGCATCCAAAGTGGAATATTTAAACATAAATCACACCTCTTTTTTTGGTCTCAAATGGTTTTATGTTTAAAATCTTGAATATAATTGCTAGATGGAAACACGTTTGGTTCTACTGCCCTGGTTTCCAAGTGGGGAGATTTTTCCCTAAGGCTTTGACCTCTTGCCTCACAGTTTATTTCTGTTACAGAGGTGGAGATGTTGTTTTAGTTTGTAGTTCTTGGGTGGAGCTGGGTGGAGCTCATCTATCAAATGTGCCAGGGCAGGTGAGGTGACTCATGCCTGTAATCCCAGCACTTTGGGAGGCCAAGACCAGCCTGGCCAACATGGTGAAACCTCATCTCTACTAAAAATTCAAAAGTTAGCTACACATAGTGGTGCATGCCTGTAGTCCCAGCTACTCGGGAGGCTGAGGCAGGAGAATTGTTTGAACCGGGAAGCAGAGGTTGCAGTAAGCCAAGATCATGCCACTGCACTCCAGCCTGGGTGACAGGACAAGACTTTGTCTCAAGGAAAAAAATGTGCTGGACATGGGAGTGAGTTCTTTGCTTCCACCTGGACACTGGGAAGCAGCCATCTGGATATTTGTATTTTTTAGAACTTTGCTTCGAAGGTGCTGTTCCAGGATTTGGACTAGTGGGTGACTGTGGCAGTTAGCAGGTAGCAGGCATAGGCTCATTTAGCTCTTAACTAAGCTGTGTTCTCTGACCTGGCTTAACGGGTTATACAAGTATACTTTGATCCCCCTCTGCTTAACTAACCTATTTTATTTCTCAAGATCCATTTGGAGGCCAGGTGTGGTGGCTCATGCCTATAATCCCAACACTTTGGGAGGCCAGGGTAGGTGGATTGCTTGAGATCAGGCGTTCAAAACCAGCCTGGGCAACATGGAGAAACCCTGTCTCTACTAAAAATACAAAAATTAGCTGGGCGTGGTGGTGCAAGCCTGTAATCCCAGCTACTTGGGAGGCTGAGGCAGGGGAATTGCTTGAACCCGGGAGACAGAGGATGCAGTGAGCTGAGATCATGCCACTGCACTCCAGCCTCAAAAAAAAAATCAATTTTGAGAAGGGGGTGCTATTTATTGGCAGTTTCAAACCACCTCAGTAACCTGAAGGACCTGCACAAACTGGCCTATTTCTCCAAGTTCACGTTCACAGTGTTTTCACATTCCTAGAAATTCCTACAATGTCCTCACAACAGTTCCTTGCATGGGTATGCTCTCCTCTTGGGCTATCATACACATTCTTTCCTGGAAAGCTCTTTTCCCCACACTCTGCTGAATTGTCACTTCCTCAAAAAGACTTTTCCTGACTCCAGAATCAAAATTCGAGGTAGCACCTTCATATGTGGCCTCTTGTGACTGGCTGCTTTTACTTAGTATGTTTTCAAAGTTCAGCTGTTCTCTAGTGCATCTCAGTTCTTTATTCATTTTGATGGCTCAATCATTTTTTTGTGTGGATATCCCAC